CGTCTCTTCGAGTTATAGGCGGCAGTGAGACCGCTATATTACATGAGCGATATTGTTGCACTCGCATTATCATGCTGATACCTTCGTCAAATCTTCGGCTCCTGTTCGCAGTTTCACCTTCTTTTCTACAAATTGGAGTAGTCTTTTCGTTGGTTTCTAATTTTCCTCCATTTTGTAATTATATATACATTCAGACTTCATGGGCATCTTACTTCTTTGGTCACCTTTCCACGTGGTCGATTCAAAGAAGTATGCTTCACACCAGCTTTTCTGTCATTCTACAGCTGCTATTGTGCCTCATGATAAGATGCTTCAGATCTGGACTTTTCCTTGACACCATGCATCCATCGGAGAATTCCCATTTCTAAGTGGTTTATCAGTAATTCATATCAGTTCCACCCTGGTACCGAGAACGTTGGCACTGGTCAATTATTCAGTTGGTCAAGCAGTTCGTGTTATGTATAAATGAACCATAGTATTATAGTAAGAAGTAAACTGCATGCTGTTTTCAATATGAACGCAAACGCATGTAAAGGTATTTCTGTAATATTCGTGTTATGAACTGTAAGAGGACATTACTATTCCCAGGCCAGGTTTTACAGCGTATTGGAATATTATCTTGCTCCTAGTTACCTAAGATAGTTTAAACCTCTGCTCAGTTTACGCTATAGTAAACCAACTGTTGTACTCAAATGCGAATTCCGTAAGACGCTTGCTTTAAGCTCTATTACAGTTACGTTTTGCTTTAATTTTAGCTGGCAAAGAGTTGGCCAAGAATTACAATTGCACGTTCATCGAAGTATCGGTTATATTGGAACATGAGGTAGACACTTTGGTGAAGTTGGTATTGAACTCGTTTCTGACTCCAAGCATCACGTCGCCGAGGAAAAAGTTCTCGTTTTCTCTGCACTTCAAGGGCTCAAAACCGAAGAAAATATTCGCCAAGGCGGACAGGATTGACTTTCACATGCCGCAGTCGACAATATTCGAGAGATGGTTCGGCAAAAGAAAGTCTTTCTCTTTCGAAAACCTGTCTTAACTGTACGGTCACTGTTTTTATGTACATAAACAGTAAAGTATTATGATGACGATGTTTCGCCTGAAAATCAGTCGTTTTACCGTTTTCCATTCACAGCCTAAGAACCGTTGGCAGGAAGGTACGAGGATATTTTGGCATCGGAAGCAGCTGCTGCAAAAAGCTCAGAAAAATCCACTTTAGGTGCTGCAGGTATGGTATTACTTTTTAGAATGTACTTAGTGACGAGAGAGACGTTTCTCCAAGCAAGTAATGCTAAGCAGAATTTTCACGTTCGCTACATGTTGCAAAATATTAATATCGTAAGTAGAGATTGATTTAAATGAAAAGTTATACTAAAACAAAAACACAGACAAATTAATTATGTAAATAAATCATTAAATTAAAATATTCAATTCTGACCTAATAACTGGCAATTCAGTTGGTGACACAGCCCACAAATTTATGCCAAATCTTTTCCAATTCTGAAAGTCAACTTCGCCTCTATAACTATAATGAAGATCTGAAATCTACATTCTTACTTTATCCATGTTTCAGCAACAAATCAATTAACAGGCCCAGTTTGATCCAAATATGAAGTCAGTCTTGGAGTGAGTAAAGTGAGGAAGGTAGGCATTAACTTTCTTTCAAAATACCCTTATCTACATGATGCTCAAGCAATCTTTGAAAAAACGAATCGCTTAACTTTACTTACAAAAGGTATATCGGACCCCAAGGTACCTAGCTGCTGGACATCTGATGCGTTCCCATGCTGTGGACAACGAAACGACCTCCAGAAATAAAGGCAACGACAGTCTCATGTTGAGTTGAAACTGACCCGCCCCTCTGAACTAGAACCGGCAGTGTCACTGCTGCCTTGTAGGAAGATGTTGGTTCGTCAAAGGCTAGAATAAATAACGCGGATAAAACCCCAGGATGGAATTGGGAGACCCGTCTGCATGAAATTTCCCAGGCAATTGTCAGTCCTACCAGAGGGTAGCAAAACTTCATGCGCCTGTAATAACACGAGAGGCTACTAAATGTTCCAGACGTAGAGCCACCATGTAGTTAACGGACCCGGACTTCCCTCGCCGCTTTTGTCTACGAGTGTAGTACACTTGAGGTGGAGAAACGTTAAACCAACTAAGGGAGAAAGGGTGAGGGATGGCCGCGACATTCTTTGCTTCAGTGAGACAAGAATGGATGGATGATGGAGAAAGGTTATTTGCATTTGGAAAGACGGTAGATTGTGAGTGCAAACAGGACATAGGAGGAATAAGATTTGACTCAGCAAAAGCTGGTCATCCAAAATCGTCCTTTGCCATGTGATGTCACCAAGACTAAGCGTGTTGCGCCTCAAATTGAACAATGATAGAATCTTTCAAATCTATGTTCACACAAGGGCAGTCGACGATTAAGAGTCGAAGAATTCTATTAAAAATTGTAAGAAGCATCGATGCCAAAGTCTACCTATACATTCATCATGAGAGACCTCAATGCTGAGGTCAGACGAGGAAGGACCAGCAAAACATTTATCGGTAGGTACTGTACCGGAGAGAGAAGTATGTGAGGCTGGCAGCGATGGTAAAACTAAACACCTGTATATTGACAACGCCTAATTCAAGAACACCATCCCGTTCGATAAACGCTGTACCACCTGAGACATAACAGCAGTGCAATCATTTAATATCGGCGGTCACTACAGAATAGTACACACCAGGATAACCTCTTAGAAGATCAAGAAGAAGGCGCTGCAGACGACAGATCGCACACGACGAGGTGGAGCTCCAGGCGCGCATTTTCAGAGGAGACTGGAACCTCTGCGTCAGCAGTGACGACTTCGAGAAGTTCCCCGTGGAGTTGAGGCGCTGCATAAAGTGGTAGCATTAAGCAAAGCCAAAATTGGTGTCTCAGAAGAGACGAAAAGTCTGCTAGAGAAGGGACCTGCAAAGTTCGCTACTCTCTTCTCTGCAAGCTTATTAGACGGAAGCCATTGTAAGATTTCGAGATCAAACAGCCGCAAACCGCAGAAGCCAGGCAATTCAGG